TGCAATGATTAGTGTCAATAGCTTGTTGTATAGCGGGGGATGCATTTCTTCCTTGCTTCTGCTCTTGCCTGGGGTGGGGCAGCAATGCACCTTAGGTGTCATTGCTTTTGGCGTTTTTCTCGGCCCGCACCTTTACTGGGCAAACATATTATAACAGAATTCATTTTTGTTCTCTTTGTTTCAATAAAAGCGGCTATGGACCTATTGTCCATAACCATTTTGCTCCAACTTAAGTGTGTTTAATTTTATTGCCCAGTAAACAGAGCTCAGGCAAGAGCAGCATTTAGGGGTTTTGTTTTGGTCGGAGAGAGGAAGACATAAAAGTTGCAAAGTTCCGTGGAAACGGGTTGCACAAGTAAAAATAATCGCCCGTTGAAAAATTTGTCCGGAACCGTGTAAACGCAGCCTGCGAACTGCAGACGTATTTCCGGTCGTCGCTTCTCTCCGTGTAAACGGGCTCTTACAACATACATTTTGACACGCATTCTAACTATAAAATTCATCAATCAACCCTAACGAAACTACTAGTTCTTTTTCATTAACTTTTCTCTTTTCATCATCAATTATTACCTGTATCCTGCCATTACGAGAAAAATATACTGTATTTGTTTTTAATTAATGAGTACAAAAGTAGCAATGAGTACGTACCTGGTTGAGCTGCCTGGAAGCATGGGAATATAATACGTAGCAAAGTGTCCCGTACTGTAGAACAAAAATGAGACAGTGATTTTTTTTTTATCGAACAGTATTCAGTATGATTAAAAGACTTAGTCCATGCGTTGCTTCTTCAGTCAGAGCAGCGAAAAATGCAAAAAAGATGTCCAACAAACCTCCTCCCACAAACTGCTGTTTGAACCGTCAATCTCCAACGCTCTTTTGAAACATCTGAAAAGAAAGGGGTATAAAATAAACCTCACTATGTATAACCAAAGAAATAAAAAGAATTTCTCCTACTGAAATCTAAATATTTGCAGGTTTTGGTCTTCGATCTGAACGTTCTTTCGGGAATTTTTTTTTTTTTGCTCGTCGAAGATTTCGATATGATTGAACTGAAGATTCGTGCAAAATTGTAATCTTCTAATTAATGAAACAAACAAATATTGTTCTATTTTGTTCCTTTTTATAAAGAAATGTAAAATAGATGGCTACTTGGAATAAGACATTTCTCGTGTTTTGTTCGAGTTACAGCCTCCATAGAAGTGTCATAACTTTCGTCTAACATTACAGGCCGCTATAAAATGTGACCAAGTAGGTATCAAGCCAGAAACTCAAAAGAAGGAGATAGACATAAGGGCTCAAGACAACTTGTCCTGAGTTGTCCTTTATTTTTTAACGCAACTGAGAGGAAGTAAACGACTAAAGACGCATAGCAGGGCTAACTGACTTTAACTTCATGCCATAACTTACAATTGATAACAAAGGCTGTAAATTTTTTATCATGCGATTAGAAGAAGTGAATTATGGACTTACCTAAGAGCAGAAACTGCAAGTTTTTGTATCGGTCCTTCACTTTTGGGCTCACACTGAAAAACAAAAAACATTTATGTGAAAAGGAATAAATAGAGTACAGTTATATTAGACAGGAACCCTCGTCATAGCCTAAATGACCTTCACATTGTTGATGCAATTCGCGCTGGGAGGAACCTCTTCGGTGAAGACGGTGAAAACCGCCCAACCCAACCTCGTTTCCAGGTTCCTCTCCTTCTTGTCCCCCGGAGCGCGCGAGAGAGGACCCTGGGGACGAGGTTGCGCCCCAAACAATTTTTAGCACTCCTTACTTCCAGCTCTGAGCCCGCACGAAATGAAAAATATGCATCTCTTACGCTAAAGGTGTAGAAAAAAAGGTAAGACAATGGAGGGAGAGGCCTACAATAAGCTTAACTCTGAAAAAACGTATGCCTACGCTCCGGGAACGTATTTGACGCA